TTCTCTAAAATTGTGTCAATGTATTCAAGAAATGCGTTCATTTAATACACTTAACCAAAGTCTATACCGGATCTCAATCTTAATGAAAATGTTATTAATAATCACGGGTTTCGTGTATTTTGAGATAAATATATCAAAAATACAAAAATTTGTGTCAAAACTAAGTCAATGTCTGACCGAAAGGGAGACAAAACAGATGAAGAGATGTTCACAACTATTAGTGATATATTGGTTGATATCATTACCACTATCCGCGTGCTTAAGCATCCATTACTACACCCATAGCCATAACTATCTACGAGCTGTCTCTGCGATCCTATGGGCGATCTATGTCTTCGGTTGGATTCAAGCCATGCCTCTGGTGTTAATACAAGTCTGTTATGTCGTATATCTCATCGAAAAGAGACTTTTAATCAATGATTTTAATGATATTCAATACGAAGACTTGAGACGGAAATTGTTTGCCATCGAAAGAGATAAGGAGTTAATCAATGATTTGTTGGGAATATTCCCTTTCCTATGGTTTTGTGAACTATTTTCATCTACTTGTCTGCGTTTGACGTATATATCCATAACAAAAGCCAACCTTTTTCTCTATACAAGTGCTTTTGAATACACACTTATTTGTCTCGTAAACATGTTATATGTATTGGCAATCAATTATTTTCAAACCCATAGACCGACTGTTAATCAATTGCTCGCCTGTTATGAGAGAAATTATATTTCAATCACATCAAGAGATTTGCAGATTAATTGTTTATTAAATCAAAAGTTTTATAATTATTCCCAAACAAAATACATGGCATTCAATGTGTTTTACATTAATTTTAAGTTTATATTTGTTTTCATTGGTTCTGTCATTACATTCACTGTTATGTTAATTGAGTTATTGGATTAATAATTAATTATAACAAACTTGCTGAATTTATTTTTATTTACATGTGTATAGTCTTATGTAAAGATAATTAATGTGGATAATATTTTTGTCAAATTATAAAACAATTTTGAAGTATAAGTAAACAAAACTTTGTCACAAATAGATTTATGCAAAGTTATGTCATAAAATGCGCGCCATTCATTAAATTATAAATATACTATGTAAAATAATTTTATCATTAGATAAATAAATAAATAGCGAATAAATAAATATAAAAAAAACAAAATTAACTACAAATTAAATACAAATATACAAAAAAGATTTGATATAAAAAATTATGTCCACTTTATATTTGAAGTTAGAAAAGCTAATCAACCGACACAACCGCCAGTGCGACCACAAGTAGTATCCGGTAAACTAAGCTTGTTCAACCTTTTTTTAGTATATCACATATACAGATTCACAGTATGCCATAAAAAGGTGGCGCAACGGTCAGTACAAAAGTTTAGGTTTGTCAGTATTAAACAAAAAACACCGCGTGAAGGTCAAGCTAATGGTTTCTCACTTATTTTTATTGTGGTTGGCTTTCAGTGTATCCTCAAAACGTCATTAAAAACAAAATTTAATTATTAAATACACTTTTTAATGAGATTTGTGATATTGTCTGCAATTTTCAACAATTTTATTAATATTTGACTCAATTGTATTTGATTACCATATTTTCAAACGTGATCTTAATGTTTTTGGGCATATACTACCAGTTTTGTTATTTTTAAGCGATTTCATTAGAGAAAAAAATTGTTCACAATTAAAAGTAGATTAAAAATATGTTAGACACGTGCCCCTTATATTAAATATAATTATATTTAATTATACTGCAAAATGTCTGTCAATTGTCAATTTAATCAATTAATTATGAATATATTTATGTAAGATATTTCTATTGAACATGTGGCTACACTAAGTATAGCCGCTATACTTGGTTGAACACGAATACGGTAAACAGTGGTAACCCGTTAGCGATGGGCACCAGAATTATAATTATAATCATCTTTACATTGTAATTAATTATTAAACTAACAATTCAAGCAACATAAAAATAAATGTAATGATAGAACCAATTATCAGATAATAAAACATAAATCTAATGTAAAACACATTTAAATAAATATTATGAATAATAATTAATTGATTAATTCATAAGTAGTTAAATTAATGGTAAACTATTGTATTAATCTATTTATGATCAAATTATTTTTAAAATTACAATAAAATAATTAGTAAACCAAAACTGCAATTGTGAATAAATATCAAAAATTTAGTAAAAATAATTTATTACTTATAAGTAATTTAATAATTAAAATATTTCCATAAATTCACGAGACTTTTAAATTAAAAATTACTTTTAATTTTTAAATCAGTTATCGTTTCATAACTGAAATCCTATTGTAACATTAATTTAGAGTCTATTTATTGATTACTTCATTAATTATTTATAAACTATTAATTTTTCTGAAAACTGTCGACAAGTGTAGCTGATTCATATAGAGTGTGCATTTATAAAATGAATGGGGGTTACTTTTAATTATTTATTTATAAATATAAGGAAAAATAGTAACGTTTATAGTTAGTGTAAGTTTTAAAATTAAACAGGTATTTTTATAATAACTATCTCCTGGTTATATTAAAATATTTACCAAAGTATTTTTCCTGTTATGTTAATTGAATTGTTGGGCAAATAATTTATTAAAATGCACTTGTTAAATCTAATATAATTTAAGTGTAAGTGACAGATTTAAAAAACCACATTATTTATATGTGAATTGTGGTTTAAAAGTTGTAAATTCATTTAAATTAAACTGATTAGATTCAGCAATTTGTTTTGTTCTATATTATTTATGCATTGAAATAGTAACATTTTAAACCTTAACTAGCCAACATTTAAAATCCATTTTTGTTATATATCCCTGTTAACAAAAACGGGATGATCTTCCCTATCTAGAAATCATTCCGGCTTATATTCAGACTAGGAGGGAAATGTCTAACGTTACACGTTTTAAAACAATCGATTTAATTTTGAACGTAAAGTAAATAATTTACATTTTAATCTTGATGAATCAATAGGATTTCATAACAAATATCAATATAATAATATTATGCTAAAATAATATTAGAAATTATAAGTTAGTTCATGAAGTCATGAAATAAAAATGAAAGAAAAAGCCTGATAAATGTAAACTGGTGCAATGTAAATGTTTACCTTAACTTAAATTTTACATAATTTATGTTTTTTGATGATATTTTATAAAATATGTTTTCTATTATATACTGATTAATGAAGTTTTATTGATATTTTCAAATTCAAACTATAATTCTTATAAAATTAATTAAAAATATAAGTATTTTAATAAAATAAATATTTGTATTATATTTAATAAGTCTTTCATATATCACGCAAAAATATAATTTAAGGCTTGTTACTTATTTTCCCAATTTACTTATTTAGTAGTTTGTTTTTATTGCATTTAAAGCAACAACATTTTGAGGTTAAATTCAAGATAAATTGTATTCATCTAATAGACAAAACAACCATGTATGAGGCGAGAATAAAAGTAACAAGATTAATTACTGTGAAGAGGGAATATGATGATTTCATACAAAGCAATTTGGACACAAACACACCGATAGATCGACTGGAAAAATTTGTCTTAAAATATTTCATACTTGTGTCCGGTTTTGATGACTACACTAACGGTGTGTTTACGTGGAGACGACGGCTGTTAGCATTCGCGGGTCGACTCATACTCTTTATAGTGAGTCTGAAGTACGCGATCTCAGCGATGGTTAACACACAGGGTATGAGGGCTATGGTGTCGGACGCCACTTACCTAATGGGAAATCCGGTGTTATTTGCAATGGTAATGTGCAATGCATCGTTTATGATTGGATTTATTGGGGTTATTATACAGATTTACGAGTTTAAACATAATTTATATATTATTGATTTTTTCAATAATATTAAATATAAACAAATACCACGTTCGCTTAATTCAGTAAATAATAAGCGGTTTATATTAAAAACAAATTTGTTGACCAAATATTTCATGAATCAGGCGTTTTGGCCAATGGTTATACTCACTGAAAGTATATTCATCAAAGCTTTAATTAATGCCTATTTAACACCAGATTCTGGTTTCACGTTAATTAGGATCAGTTTGTGGACTGTTTTAGATGTGATAATGTTTATTGAGTTGTATTCGTTAACATTCTTTGGAGTAATTTTTATCATAATGACCAACACTTATATTAAGTATAAATATAATGAGATTAATAGCAAAATATATGTGTCGGTTATAAATGGTAAATATTTTGCACTTATAGATGCGATCGGCGAACACAATGTGATCACTAAAATGACAGTCAATTTAAACCACTTTTATAAATTTGTTCTATTTACTATTTATTATATAAGTACACCGATAAGTGAGTTACTTTTGTACTTAACCTTTGCACCGGACACTGAATCAACTAGCCATTTTGTATTTGGTGTTATATTTGTCGTGTCATTTATTGTGATTTTTTTCGTCACATACATGTGCACATGGGTTACTAAATCGGCCAACAATTCACTGCCTATACTGTACTCGGCTTTGAAACACAAGTCTATACCAATTGACCAGCGATTGAAAATTCATACATTCATTGAGAGACTCTCTGCCCGTGACATCGGTTTCTATTGTTATGATATATTTCTTATGAATAATTGGGAATTTAAGGAATATTTGGTGGGCTTTATTGCTAATCATCTCTTACTACTTTCTTTGGTAATAAATTTCTTAAATCCACTATTTTTAAAAATATAATAAAATTAAACTTTTATTTTTAGCTTTCATCCTAATGTTATATAATGTAAAGTAAGGAAAATGTTGTTTTATACGAGACCTCATACCCGGACTAATACATAAATATAACGGTTAAGATTTTGGTGACCGGTTTTGGCCATAAATGTCGATCACATGTACAGAACAAACATTACGTCAACAAATATTAAATTTACGATATAGCTACTTTTACGTATATTAATACAATATATCATCAATTAATTATATGTATGTTACTGAGAATGACGTGTCTAACTTTACCCGTCTTAAAGCAATAGATTTAATTTTAAAAGTAAAATCAATAATTATCATTTAAATCTTGATGAATCATATGTATTGAGTTTTATTGCTATTCATCTCTTAATACTTTCTTTGGTAATAAATTTATTTAATTCACTATTTTTAAACATATACTAAAATTTTAACTTTTATTTTTAGTGTGCAAGCTAATGTTATTAAATGTAAAGTAAGTAAAATGTAGTTTTATTTCAGACCTCATACCCGGACTCATACAAGAATATAGAGGTAAAGATTTTGGTGACCGGTTTTGGCCACAAATATTGACTACATGTACAGAACAAACATCACGTCAACAAATATTAAATTTATGATACAGCTATTTTTATTAAAATTAATATAACATTAATTAATGATGTGCAACTTAATTTGCAGATATTATTGTTGCTCTACTGTAACAATGAGAACATTTTTTACCCTTCGGTTTACAACATACATGTATATGTATATCATATGATATATTTTGGTTATTCCCAGTGTTTTTCAACCAAGAGTTAAGTAAATCTATTGTAGTTAGTGTTGCCAACTCTTATCGACCTCCGCCTTGAAAAATCCAAAATTTTTCTAAATTCACTTTGACCAAACCTTGACCACTATTATTATTGCATATTTGATTGCAAATATTTTTGAAATATGAGCAAAATGTAAATTTAGATTATAATTTAATTTAGTTTTATTATAATACAGTGTATTTTCCATATAAGATACGAGCTTTTTGAAGACAAAAGTCTTGCTTATAAAGGGGTTTTAATAAAGGATTTGTTTTGCTATTATACAAATAGGCAATAAATATTATTCTGGGTTTTAAATAGTGTGTTCATTACAATAAATACCTAAAATACACATACGGTAATTACATTTGCTCTCAACAATTGTCACCAAACATAACACTCCCCACAGAATATAGATATTAGCAGTTCTTCCGAACATTATTTTTTTACAATATGTTTATTGAATTCAATGTCCAGTCATTACAATAAATACCTAAAATACACATACGGTAATTACATTTGCTCTCACCTTGACCTGTCTATGTCAAGGTGAGACCTTCGCCTTTCACCTTGACCAAAACCCTCTCACCTTGCAAATCAAGGCAAACCTTGACCAGTTGGCAACCCTAATTGTAGTCTGTATTTACGTATAAAATATATTTTAATCCTACACTCATTTTTTCTATTTAGCTTTTAATAAGTTATTTACAAAAACTTTTAATTTTAGTTAAATTTGCAATTGTAATGACTGGACATTGAATTCAATAAACATATTGTAAAAAAATAATGTTCGGAAGAACTGCTAATATCTATATTCTGTGGGGAGTGTTATGTTTGGTGACAATTGTTGTCATATATCAGTTCTCTTCTCCCAATTGTTTTACATATTATTCACAACAAAATCAATGCATTTCAGCCCAGGTTTGCAACCAATTGTTTATTAATTATTTATTAATTATGTTATAATTAGATATTTAATTTCTTAATTTGTTATATAAATGCGTATTTCATTATATAAATATAAAATTGCACTAAAAATAACATAATTATTATCACAAACTAATTCTGTATAATACTAATTGAGTTTTATTTTATCAAATATTAAATTAAGATAGTAATTATTTACTATAACTTACTGTAAATTTATTATAAGTTATGATTTATAACAATATTCGTTAACTATTATAAAATAATTGCAATTAATTGAAACGTACATTACATTCAAACATACGAAGCGATTCATCGGCAGTAAAAACAAGGAAAACGGCGACAAAACGAAAAAGTTTGCGTACAATCGGTATTCGCCGCTTGTATTCATCGGCGGAGTGCCGAGAAGTGGCACCACATTCATGAGGGTTCTCCTCGACTCGCATTCGGACATCAGATGCGGTGAAGAGACGCGAGTTATTCCCGATTTGTTACACATGTCCAGCAAATGGCGCAAATCGTCCTTTGAATCCCAGCGCCTGTCAGAGGCCGGCATTACTGGCCACTTGTTAGACTCAGTGGTCGCCGACTTTATATTGGAGATTATGGTAAAACACGGAACGCCTGCCCCCAGGCTTTGCAATAAGGATCCGCTTGCTTTGCAATCGGCCCTATATTTAAGACATTTGGTCCCAAACTCTAAGCTATTACTTATGATACGAGACGGTCGGGCAGTCGTTCACTCCATCATCAGTCGAAATGTGCGCTTATTATTATCTATAATTAAAAATCAATGTTAAATGTATAAATAATTGATGTATATTTTTATGCAAAACATTAGGTGACTATCGGTGGCTATGATTTAAATGACTTTTGCCAATGCCTGAAGATTTGGAACAAAGATATTTCTAATATGGTATTAATTTGATTGCCATTTAATTTGTATTGTCATTAAAGTAGCCAGATGGTCAGGAGTAATCTAGATTGTTCAGTATTGATAGAACATATCAAGATTTATAACGATATTTCTAACATCGAGCTTAAATCATTTCACCATTAACAATAGTTAATGATTTGAAGGCAAATTTTTGCATATAATCATGGACTGTTCAAACTGCATCTGGTAAGTTTAATTATTATCTAACAAAAGCTATGTTTATTTTACAGCACAATCAATGCCAACAATTGGGAAGTGATGTCTGTTTTCCCGTACGATACAAACAGTTAGTACTTCAGCCCAAATTTATTTTTAATTTTAAAATTGGTAGACCAGTGATGAGCTCTGGGGGCAAATGTTGTGACAAATATCTCTCTTATTATTTGTATACAAATATTGTATTCTGTATACGATTCAAATATTTAACATAAAATTCTTTAATTAAATATTACCTAGGTCCATTTAAAATTGCCTTAACTCGTTTTTGAAGTAGACATTAACATGAGTTTAATATTTGTTTGTGCTTTAAGATTTGGATTGTCAACGGATCAAGTGATTAAACCAATCAATATCGAGGCGCTGTCCCAATGGGTCGGACGCATACCTGACGATGTGGTCAGAGATATGGCTACTATAGCGCCGATGCTCTCGATTCTGGGTTACGATCCTTTGGCTAATCCTCCAAACTATGGTTCGGCCGACACTTCCGTTGAGCTCAATATGAAACGCATGGAAGACCACAAACAGCACTGGTATGCAAAACAACAGCAAATTATCTCTATTAGACAAAACTTAACTAAACATTTTAATTGGTAATATTGATGATTAAATTGTGTATTTATATTATTATCGAATAAAATAATTAATTGTTAATTATTATTACGTTTGGTCAATTATTTTCAATGAAAAGGCGTGTTTAATTATTTATATATTAATAATAATATTTTTAAAAATATTAATTTTATTTAATTAATTTATATCACATATTTCTTATAACAAATATGGATTTATGGAAATTTAGACAAAATTAACACTTTTTATTATAAACTAGAAAATAATAATAACGATATTCAATAACTATTTTTATAAATATACCTGAAAATACATTAAAAATATCAATCATCTTGATTACTTTACATTCACTATAATAAATATATCCTTAAAAAATATATCCCGTACAGCCCTCTACAATAAATTACGTACAGTATATCACAATCACTGCAAAGTTTGTAAGCATTGTCTTTGTCTCAAACTTTTTATCACGAAATATTTTAATGTAGACATTATTTATACATAGCGCTAAATCACTTCGCATATCAATTGTACAGAGAATACTATAGTTTTTTAGAGGGATATATTTTTAGAGATTTATTTATTATAGTGAATGTTAACTTAAAACAAACTGAAATTATAAACTATTAGCGCAGAAACCTTTTACCCAAATGTTATGTGTTATATAATAGGAACCTTTCATTGAAAAAATCCTATCTATAAGAAACACTTTGGCTATAAATCCGCCCGTTTCCTATGGAGGGGTTGCGTAAGTAAGTTGTTTTTAGCATTCAAATAGTTGGATAATCAAAAACATAACTGGCCTTCACTTAAATGTTAAAACATCAATAAATTTATTATCTGTATATTGCTTAATGAGATTATATTGATATTGTCTAATAAAAACAACAATTCTTATAAAATTAATTAAAATATCGCTAATAAAACATGTATTTTTGAAAATAAATATTTGTTTTATATCAATATTTAATAAGTCATTTATATAATCTAAAGTTATTTATCACGCAAACATATTTTTACATTAGTAACTGCTAGTTATTTATTTAATTTGTTTTCAATTGTAATAATTACAATCGTGACAATTATTGTCATTCATTTACATAGCATTTTAAAACTAGAATTATCAAAACAAAATTGTATTCATCTAATAGCCAACATACAGTAAGCATGTATGAGGCCAGAATAAAAGTAACAAGGTTAATGGCGGTGAAGAGGAAATATGGTGATTTCTTACAAAGCAATTTGGACACAAACGCACCGATTGATAGACTGGAAAAGTTTTGCTTAAAACATTTCATACTTGTGTCCGGTTTTGACGACTATCTGAACGGTGTGTTTACGTGGAGACGACGGCTGTTAGTACTCGCGGGTCGACTCATACTCTTTATGGTGAGTCTGAAGTACGCGATCTCAGCGATGGTTAACACACAGCATATGAGGGCTATGGTGTCGGACGCCACTTACCTGATGGGTAATCCGGTGTTATGCGCAATGTTAATGTGCGATGTATCGTTTCTCATTGGATTTATTCTGGTACTAATGCAAATTTACGAGTATAAACATAATTTGCATATTATTGATTTTTTCAATAATATTAAATGTAAACGAATGCCACTTCCGCTGAATTTAGTGAATAATAAGCGGTTTATATTAACCGCCAATTTATTAACCAAATATTTTATGAATCAAGCGTTTTGGCCAATGGTTATACTTTTACATACTGAACCTTTCTCAGACACCTTTCTAAATAACACTTATGTATTTTGCCTAAATGTCTAATTGTAAGGATTAAATAAACAACCCCTCCCTCTGTAATATAAATAATATATCAATATTTACTTGAACATCTAGCCATTAGACATTTAAGCAAAATACATAAGTGTTATTTAGAAAGGTGTCTGAGAAAGGTTCAGTATGTAAAGTTATACTCAATGAGAGTGTATTTATTATTGCTTTAATGAATGCCTATTTAACACCCGATTCTGGTTTCACGTTAATTGGGATCAGTTTGTGGACTGTTTTAGATGTCATAATGTTTATCCAGATATATTCTTTGGCATTCTTCGGGGTAATTGGATTCCTAATGACCACCACTTATATTAAATATAAATACAATGAAATTAATCACAAAATTTGTGTGTCAGTAAAATATGGTAATTATTCTTCGCTTATGGATGCGATCGGCGAACACAATGTGATCACTAAAATGACAGTCAATTTAAACAACTATTATAAATTCGTCCTATTTACTTTTTATTATATTACTACACCGGGTTTTGAGTTACTTTTGTACCTAACCTTTGCACCGGACACTGTATCTACTATCACTGTTGTAGACGGCGTTATATTTGTCGTATTATTTAATGTGGTTTTCTTCGTCACATACATGTGCACATGGGTTACCAAATCGGCCAACAATTCACGGCCTATACTGTACTCGGCTTTAAAACACAAGTCTATACCAATTGACCAGAGATTAAAAATGCATGCATTCATTGAGAGACTCTCTGCCCGTGACATCGGTTTCTATTGTTATGATATGTTTCTTATGAATAATTGGGAATTTAAGGAATATGTGTTCGGTTTTATTGCTAATCATTTCTTATTGCTATCTTTGGTTAATGGTTAATATGTTTAAAAATTAATTCTTTGTAAACACATAATCAAATTGAATTTTTATTTTTAGCATTTTAATGACTAATTTTATGTTTGCAACATTTCATTTAAGAGTAATGTTATTCTATTTATTAAGCATTATATTTAGTGATTATCAATTTTTATCATCGCCATCAGTATTTAGGTTTACAAGCTGTTTTTATTTGAAGTTGCTGGTACTGTACATACATACCTTGCTTAGTTACTGCACACTCACTGAGCCATACCTACTAATAATCAATCATGATATGCTTTATAGTACCAGTATTCACGCCAATTTCTTATGAAAAGGTTGCACTGTATTACTTAAGTATGTTATCTGCAAGCATTCATCTAGATAGATTATCGTAAATTTATCGTATTGTGAATACGAACTCTCGTTTATTTATTATGAAATCTTTTAATCCATGACTTTGAGTAGGACTCAAAGTCCTTGTCTTACTATAACCTGTTTTTAATCTTATCTCTCGATCTAATCTATTTGATGTATAAGAGACAACGCCTTCTAGTGTTAGTTGTCTCTCAGTTCTCAATGTGTTAACATTAAAGTTATTTCAGTAATAATTACTTGGTGTAATTTTTGCCGTTAATTACAGTGTAATTACCGGCCGCCGTGAAGGCCGAGACACGCCCAGACGGGATCACACATGCGCGAACGCACGCACGCAAAACCACGAGTAAAGTAACACGTGTCCGCTAACGCTCGCGCTCGCACGCAAGTAAGCTAAGTATCGCCTAAACCACGACAACAGCACTCACACCCCCTTGGATTGGCCAACACCAAAGGTACATTTTTGCACAGAAACATACTGTATATCTTCCCTGATTCTGAAATCATTCCGGATTATATTCAAACTGCGGGGAAGTGTTTAACGTTACACGCCTTAAAGTCAATTTAATTTTAAAATAAAGTAAATAATTAACATTTTAATTTTTTCAATGAATCAATATTTATTCACAACAAATATCAATATAAAGTTATATTTTAATAAAATATAAGAAATTACAAGTTTGGTATTTGAATAGGGTTTAAAATATAAACTAAAAAGTACATAAGTCTGTAAATGTAAACAGGTACCATGTAAATGTTAACTTTTATGCTAGTTTTATATAATTTATGTTTTTGCTGATATATTATAAAATATATTATGTATAATCAATATTAATGAAGTTATAATAATATATTTAAATACAACCCATAATTACAAGAATTCTTGTAAAATTAGTTAAAAATATAAGGAAGTAAAACAAGCATTTAATAAACTAAATATTTGTGTTATATTTAATAAGTACATAAGGCAAAATATATTTTTATGCTAGTTGTTTGTTTGGGTTATTTTCAATTGCAATTTTCATTTAAATAAAGCAACAGAACTTTAAACTTAAAATTATAAAATTTTACTAATCATCAAAATTGTATTCATCTTATCGCCAAAACAAGCATTTATGAGCCGGGAATAAAAGTAACAAGGTTAATGGCGTTAAAAAGGAAATATGGCAATTTCATACAAAGCAATTTAGACATAAACACACCGATCGATAGACTGGAGAAGTTTTGTTTAAGACATTTCATACTTGTGTCCGGTTTTGATGATTACATGAACGGTGTGTTTACGTGGAGACGACGGCTGTTAGTACTCGCGGGTCGACTCATACTCTTTATGGTGAGTCTGAAGTACGCGATCTCAGCTCTGGTTAACACACAGCACATGAGGGCTATGGTGTCGGACGCCTCATACCGGTTGGGTAATCCAGTAATAATTGCCATGGTAAAGTGTGATGCATCGTTTCTCATTGGATTAATCGGGGTTGTAATACAGCTTTACGAGTTTAACCATAATTTTTATGCTATTAATTTTTTCAATGATTTTAAACACAAACGAGTGGCACAACCCCTGAATGCTGTCAATAATAAGCGTTTTATATTAAGATTCAATTTGTTGACCAAATACTTCCTAAATCAAGCGGTTTGGCCAATGATTATAATGTCAGAAAGTTCTTACTTAATGGCAACGATTATGGCTTATTTGACACTCGGTTCTGGTTTCACTATACTCAGCATTTGTATCACGTTTGTATTTGAAACAGTTATGATTATTGAACTATATTCATTGTCATTCATCGGGGTAGTTTTATTCCTGTTGACCAACACTTATATTAAATACAAATACAATGAGATTAATCATAGGATATATGTATCGGTTAAATATGGTAAATATTGTGCGCTAATGGATGCGATCGGCGAACACAATGCTATCACTAAAATGACTGCTAAGTTAAATCACTTTTATAAGTTTATTTTGTTTGACTTGTATTATATAACTACACCAGGATTTGAGCTACTATTGTACGTAACATTTGCATCATACTCTGACTCTGGTATCGCTGTTGTTTTTGGTGCTGCATTTGTTGTTTTATTTACCATAGTGTTTCTCATCACATACATGTGCACATGGGTTACCAAATCGGCCAACAATTCATTGCCTATACTGTACTCGGCTTTGATACACAAGTCTATTTCAATTGACCAGCGATTGAAAATTCTTACATTCATTGAAAGACTCTCTGCCCGTGACATCGGTTTCTATTGTTATGATATGTTTCTCATAAATAACTGGGAATTTAAGGAATATTGTATCGCTTTTATTGCTAATCATCTCTTGATACTTTCTCTGGTAATAAATTTCTTAAAAATATACTATTTTAAACATCTAATAAAATTGAACTTTTTACTTTTTAGCTTGCACCCTAATTTTGTTAAATTTAATCGTAATTATGTGTTATTTGCTGATTGTTAAATATGGTAAGCAAAAGGCTGCCCGTCAACGGCTCAGCATTTAATGCATTTGGTACATTTGGTATTGTAGTATTTGTTACTTGTATGCAAAATATTAATTTTAATGATTTTTAATATACTTGCTTTTATTTTTATTTGCAAACAAATATTAAAATAATGCATTGACATCACAAATGATTGATACATTATTTACATTTACATATTGTAATAAAATGTAAGTTTTTATTGATTATACTGTATTTAACATCAATATCTATTATTAAACATATGATATTTGCATAAATTTGTTATTATATAAAATATATTTTATGTATTAAGAGAAAGCATTGTAAAAATTCATAAAATTATATTCCCGTACAATTTATTTAAATGTTATTAATTTATAAATACAAATAATATAAACAGTCATTAATAACCATGAAGACTATTTTATATCCATTTTCACACATATCATTATTATTAGGTTTTGATTTCTATAAAGACGACAAGAATCGGACAAAATTATTGTTCCGATACACAAATAAAATGCTAATATTTGTAACATATTCTCTAAAATTGTGTCAATGTATTCAAGAAATGCGTTCATTTAATACACTTAACCAAAGTCTATACCGTATCTCAACCTTAATGAAAATGTCTTTCATAATCACGGGTTACGTATATTTTGAAATAAATATATCAAAAATACAAAAATTTGTGTTAAAACTAAGTCAATGTCTGACCGAAAGTGAGACAAAACAGATGCAGAGATGTTCACAACTATTAGTGATATATTGGTTGATATCTATACCACTGTCCGCGTGCTTAAGCATCCATTACTACACCCATAGCCATAACTATCTACGGGCTGTCTCTTCAATCCTGTGGGCAATCTATGTCTTTGGTTGGATTCAAGCCATGCCTCTGGTATTAATACAAGTCTGTTATGCCGTATATCTCATCGAAAAGAGGCTTTTAATGAATGATTTCAATAATATTCAATACGAAGACTTGAGACGGAAATTGTTTGCCATCGAAAGAAATAAGGAGTTAATCAACGATTTGTTGGGAATATTCCCTTTTCTATGGTTTTGTGAACTATTTTCATCCACTTGTCTCCGATTGACGTATATATCCATAACAAAAGCCAACCTTTTTCTCTATACAAGTGCTTTTGAATACACACTTATTTGTCTCACAAACATGTTATATGTGTTGGCAATCAATTATTTTCAAACCCATAGACCGACTGTTAATCAATTGCTCGCCTGTTATGAGAGAAACTATATTGCAATCACATCAAGAGATTTGCAAATTAATTGTTTATTAAATCAAAAGTTTTATAATTATTCCCAAACAAAATATATGGCATTTAATGTGTTTTATATTAATTTTAGATTTATGTTTGTTATCATCGGTTCTGTCATTACATTCACTGTTATGTTAATTGAGTTGTTGGGTAGATAATTAATTATAACAAACTCGCTGAATTTATTTTTATTTACATGTGTATAGTCTTATGTAAGGATAATTAATGTCGCTATTATTTTTGGCAAATTATTAAACAATTTTGTAGTATAAGTAATGTTAGTTATTTCCTATTTTTGAAAAGTATATTCCAGGAAAATAGTTTTGCGCCGGAAAATTCTTTATATTCCTTAAAATTGGGAAAATAAGA